TACAGGAGATGCTTTCATCCAGCATGCTACCTTGTCCTCAGGGAAAACAGAGAGCAGCTATCCAGGCAGTGAATGCATGCAGGCAGAAAAGAGGGAGGGAGGCACCCCTCATTCCCAGCCTGGATGATTTGTCAGGGAATGGCTTAGGGATGCTGCTTCTACCTTTCTTACCCACTCAAAAGGAGAAAGGAAGAGAAAAAAAGTGTTAGGGAAAGGGATCCAAAACCTGTTACGGTTACCCTGACCACAGTAATGCATTCTTGATAGTGATTTCCAGATTTTAAAAGTTTTCAGTACAGCTAATTCAATTAAAGAGGTAATACAACTTCAGGAAATGACATTCCTATATGAATCCCTTTTGTTAAAACATTGTTGCCCCTCATTCAGGGCTTGCACGCCCCAGTGCTAACATACATTTTTAGATTTATGCTTTTGCCTTTAGATTGGCCTTAAAACCAGCAACACAACCGAGCTCCCTGGGCAGAGGCCTATGTGAATATATTTTCCAAATCTCTGTATGGGACGTAGTGGCACAAATCTTGTTTACAGGTAATGGCATTTGGGCTCTTTCTCCTATACACAAAAGATTGTGCCTGGTAAATTACACTCAAGTTTTGTTGAAGCAAAATAATTGAGCTTCATCATCAGTTAAAGTGATATCAATGCAACAGCAGGCTAAAGTCAGAGGAATTCAAATCCTTCACTTCTCTTTCCAGAGGATTTTATTAAAAATAAAAATTTACAGCTCCCTTTGTCAAAGCTATAAAGTTGTGTGGGCACCAGATTGCCAAATACATGTGAAAAGAGAAAAGAAAAAAAGAAAAAAAAGATGTCCTAAAGAGAGAAAGACTATATTCCTTCTGCAGATTTTTCTAGCTAATGCATTAATATCATACCGCAGCATTTCCTCCAACATACATTGGCCACCACTGGGCTGAATGGTATTCTCTATGCTGCATCATCGCTCTGAGTATTGCTAATTGCAAACTGCTCCTGGGCAAGTCAGCGGGTGCTAATGGGAAACATCCTGCCCTTGTGAAGAACAATCTTCCTTGTTCTTAACGATCTGCAAGACTGGGCTACTTTCAGCATCAGTCACTCAATAGATTTTGTGTTTAGATTACAGAAATATTCCTAGAAATACTCTAATAGATTTCATAGAAATCTTAAAGGCCATATCTTGTTATATGTTGTAGTGGCATCTTACAGGGTCAGTTGAGGCTGACCCCAGCGTGCTCCAAGGTTTACCAACAACATCTGTGGTGCTGTTGATTAACACAGAAGAGAGGCAGATCCTCAGTAGGTGCAAACGAGCGGGAAATGGAGCAAAGACAATCTGAAATGCTGCCTCCAGAATTTTTCTAAGCCTCATGAAGGAGAACGATAGCAAGAAGTGGCAATTTTTAGAAACACTTGTTAACAGTTGCAACAAGCAGCAATAATATATTCTTCAAGGGAAAACTGCTCCTATCTTTCAATAAATGTTATTTCCAAATGCTCTGAAGTCAAGGATCTGCAACAACCATGACCATTGTTTTCCAACTAGTGATGGACTAGTGATTTAGGGGGTCCAGTTCACGCCCACAGAGCACTGACTCGCTTAAAATCATCTCTGTTCAAAGTACCAGTCAAAATGTCTCCTCAAAATGCATACAACCAGCATTGCTAGGGAAATTTCATCCAGAAGGGTCTTGAGTGATCTCTCACTCTTTCAGTCCTCACCTTCTCCAGCCCTCGCTCCCAGCTGGGCTACTCCCATCCTGTACTGTGTTACGTCTGATTCAGACTGGAAGCCATCCATGGTCCAGACCTGCCCTTTTAAAATTATCTGCAAAGCAACATGCACACCCCTGGCTTTTTATCAGCCACAATTAGACCGCTGGATAAGCCGACCATCTGGCATTTTAAAGAGTAGCAAGAGATTTAGAGTTGGAAGTGTACCATTTGCTTTTAGGCAGTCTCCTGCCTGAACTGCTGCTGATTTCAACCCTAAAATTTACAGCGATAGTATTTCACAGCAGAAGACAGTTATCGGTGCTTTCCAGAGCTTTAGGTGGACTTGTGCCAGCCTGCCTTGGAGACACAGACCTCCCTTACGGAACATGCTATGACTTAGAGCTCCATTGACTCAGGATTAACTCTACAGAGACATTGTCCATCCCTTGATAGCAAGGACCTCAGCATCTTCCTGGTGTGGAGAGGAAGGAACTACACTTTCACCTCCCTCCTGCATCATTTTGGGAGCCTATCTAGCACAAGATGCATGTGTGAGTGGTGAGCGGGGATGAGCTGCTGATGGGGATAAAGCAAAAGTCTTAGCCTTCTCCTCTCCCACCTACTGAGCATGGTACCATTCTGTCACGTTTCAAATATCCTTGAAAAAGCCAGTGAGATGGAAGTGTTCACTACTCTGCAAGGATGCACATGGCACTGGAAACACCTGCTTTAGGAAATTCCACCCTGTGTCTATAAAATGAGCATCTCCTAAGATGAACTCCCCATAAATATCTGGAAAACGTCACCATCAACTTACAGTTAAGTCAAGACGTGAACCTTGGCTGACCTACTTGTGTAGTTTGCTGTAATCCCTCACTTCCTCACAAAGCTGGGTGAATGGTCTAAGAAACCCATGGACCTCTCTGTAAATCATAAATCCATTGGGTTGTTAGTTTGGGGGATTTGAGGAACAGATTTCAGGAAGTAGGGAGGAATAATGATGTTTCTGGGATGTTTCATCATTTTCCATCCGCAAAAGAGTTTACGCATGTTGTATGTGACTTCCCCAGTGGATTTGAATTTCCTCCTTGGAAGGAACTGAACTAACTCAATGTTTAACTTTTGAGTGATATTAATCAAAAGTATATTTTAAAAGATGGCACTCTGTAATGTGAGAATTGCTATTTCTCCAATAAAGAAATACGCTGTCCATATAAAAAACAATCAATCAGATCTGTGTGGGAGATAATCCAATAGATATATATTCCTGTCCACAACATTATTATATCCTTTCATTTTGTCATCTGGCACATCTTCTCTATACTTGCAAGATGCAAATGGCTGGCCTGATTTTAAAGATGTGGGAAATCCAGAAAGATTTGCAGGCATGTATATGCTTTGAAACTCTACATGCATTATTGTCAGAAACATATGCACACATTTAGTCCATGGTTACCTGCTGTTTGCAACCATCCAGGACTCCAGGTATTCTGATTGTTTAAGAAAACAGCTAAATAGCTTTGAGGGTTTGCAATACACCGTGGCATTTTCAGGCATGTATTTGATTAAAACCCAGAGAATGTGAGAGTGTGACATCTATACTGTCTTGCAGAAAGAAAGGGACAGTGCAGAGAGTCTGAGCTAGCTCTAAATTAATTGGTTTGTAACTGATAATAGTCTTTCCATGGCAGCTCAATGCCAGCTAATTTACCCTGCTAAAGAGCAATCGAGATGCACAATAATCATTTGAAATTATATTTACATTCCAAAAGGCTCACCAAACGGTTCGCATATGATTCAGTATCATTTTGGCCAATGGGAACTTCCCACCAGTTTCCACAAGAGCAGAATCTAGTAGTGCAACTGCTACATTGGGGAGGCATTTCTCCCTTCAGCATTTGTAGGTAATTAGAAAGGCTCTGCTGCAGCAGTTCCGGCCCTACAACAAGGCAGGATTATTTCTGAGGAACAGCAACTGAGCAGTCCTGCCAAAATCATACACCCACAGCGCTAGAACTGTCTGGGGTCTCCTCTAGAATTCAGGAGAGAGTAACACATACAATAAATGATGTGAAAAATAACAGACAGATGACAACTGACTACAGAAATATAAAGGGATGTGCTAAAGGAATATCTATCACGCTTCTGACTTAATGAGGTTATAACAAGAAGCAATGGATTTAAGATGCAGTTGGGAAAATCTGGCATTATTACTGGTCAGCACTTAAAAAGCTTGATGTCTAATAGTATGCTCCTAAATCCACCTTCAGGTATTTATAGAGAAAAAATGCTAAGGTTTTCAGAGAAGGTGAAAAGTTGCCTTTTCTCACGACCCTTTTTTCTGTATCAAGGACAGCCAGCCCAGTCAGAAAACTTTCAAAAATCTCAAAACTTTCCTCTCCTATAGAAGTTTTCTCTCTCTTACACTGAAAATAAGCCTCAAAATTCTGTCAACATTTGCTCATGAAAATAACTCAAGTCCTTTTTAAACACTTGGGCCAACTTTGTCCTCAGATACATTCTCATTGCTTCTGTAGTGTTCTTCTAAGCAGAGGCATCGTCACTTCATGACACATGTTCTGCTCTACCACTGAATGACATGATGAGATACTGTAGAACTGAAGGCTGCAAAACTCCCTAGTTTATAAAGCTGTATTCTATAACCACGTGCGTACAATTACTGTGTGCTGCCAGATTGTTAGGAACACTAAGCAAAAGCAGAGGAAAGTTGCATTTTGGACCCAGTTGGAAGATGAATAAGATCCATGGATGTATAAATTAAAAAGATATTCTGAGGTAAAAAAACATATGAACGCAGACCCAGTGTTTTGGTTGAATGTAAACATTGCTGGGCGGCCTTGGCTCCAGATCACACTGAGCAGGAAAGATCTTTATTTAAAGAGCTGCTTTTTTTGCAAAAGGCAGAAAAGCCTTTATCTTAAGCTGTGTCCTGCAGAGGTCACACTGCAACCAGGTTGGTAAATGCTTGAACATGAGGGCAAACCACTTCTCGATTGAAGGGCCCCCTTTTCATCATGTTGATACATGGGCTGAATCTAGATTACAACACATACAAAGCAGTTGGTACCATTAGCCATGTAAAATTGACAAACTTATTCTTAACATAAGCTATTAGGAGGGGTTAGTTGCAGAATTTATATAAACAAGAGACTAGAAGTTTAATGTACTTCATGGAGAGTCACATCGCTGACACCATGAAATTGCTCTGCTGCCCTAGTCGCTTCTGCTAACCCCTGAAAAAGGAGCCACCACTGCTACATTACCTTCTGGGTGAAGAGGTTGCTACAGACGGAGCATCTGTGTCCTTGTCATACACTTCAGCTTTCTTTACTTTTGACTGCAAGTATGCGAGTGTCTTTGAAGGTCATTACCCTTGTTTCATACTTACTCCTTTGTATACGATTTCAGCAGAAAAAGAAAAAAAAAAGGAAAAGGAAAAGAAAAAGCTGGTGAGAGTCATGCTCAAAGCGTATGCACAGTACTTGAAATTTATATTTGAACTCATCTGGGAAGGACTGAAAAGTCATCTTTCTCCCACTCGCACTAGTCTTCTGCTTCCTACGCCTGCATAGAGCAAGTTGAACCTATGTGACAGCTTTCAGAGGATTTATATAATCATTGTGCTATAAGTGATCTGTTTGCAATTAGTTTAAATGATGATGGTCATAGCAGCATCTAAGGGCTCTCAGAAGCAGTCCCCTCCTGCCACCCGACCCCTTGAAAGGCTGTTTCCCTTTCCACTCCCAGACCAAACACCTGACCCCGACTGCCTGGCTTCCAGGTGCTCCGGTCAGGCGCAGCCGGGCCACGTGGGCTGCCCCGGGAGCGGAAGGAAACCAGCTCCACAGGAAGGCTGAGGCCATCTCCCCTGCGGGCTCACGGGGACCGCCTCAGGTCAGCCTCTCTCAACATAACTCACCGAGGCAGACACGTCCCGGTGCTCTTTGGTGGGAGGCTGGCGAGCCACAGGCAAAGCTGCTTGCATGGGGAGGGTCCCGGTGCATTCATCAAACATTTTATATGCCTTCAGTTTCCTCAGAAGCTAGCTTTTCTCTTCTGTAAGGCAGAAATTGGAAACTAGACTCAAATGAAAACAAAAAGCTCTTCCCTCTCTCCCCCACCCAGCATAAATGCAATTATCTTTATTTTTTTAAAATGTCTGGGCCCAATGTCTGTCTTTCCTTCCCCTCGCGCATTCCCTCTCATAGTTTTAAAAGGGGTCTGTTGCTCTCCACAGGCCCTGGGTTACTGTTTTCAAAGGGGAAGTTGCACTGTAGCGCATAAAGCAAGAATTGCATGTACTGGAGAGGCGGCATTCCCTCTCCTCCCTCTCTCCCCTGCAAGCATGTCGCTGCTGATACCGCCTGTGCTTCTTCCCACCAGTATACGCAAGCCCCCTGCCTCCACTCTCCCTTTGGAGAAGAGCTGCAAGGGAGCAAACCACGTACCGCAAGCTGCGCTTTGCTGGCAGAAGGTTGTTTATGTAGGAGAAATACTGGATCTTGGGAACTCAGGAGATGGGGGCTAAGGGCCTTGCTCTGCCACAGGCTTCTTGTGTGACTCTGGGCCAGTTATCAAATGGCTCTTCTGAGCTTGAAGATACACATCTGTACTGACAAAAACGTCTGCCTGAGGTCTTCTGTATAATCCCACTGGGAAACCATCAGTCACTTTAGGGGCTGAAATGTCTTTTTAAATGCCAGCCTTTAAGTCTCTACACTTCAGTTCTTTTTCTGAGGACAAACGCAGCAATGCTTGTAAAACCTCCAAGTCTGTAACGAGGGCCGTGTAAGTAGTAGTCTAGCTTTGTTTCCTTTACATTGCCAGTGTGAATCTGTGCAGAGGGGTGCAAAAAGTAGGAAGCATTTTTTTTTATGGACCATGTTGCATTTCCTTGCTGTAAAAGGGCTGATTTGTGTAAAGGTCTGAGAGGTTATCCCAAACAGAACAGGGGCTACTGCCCAGACTGCAAACCTGAGACTCTCAAGCACCTTTGCAGGCCCCATTTCAGAACAAATGAACCACGTAACCTGCAGGTATGTTGTCTCCACCCCCTGACCATAGTCACTGCTGCCAGAGCCAGGCACAGCACCCAGGTACTGCAGTACCTAGTGTTTCTCACCATCTGCAATTACCCCATAATCTGCTGAAGTGCATCATCTTCCTCCCTCTGTCCACTCAGCGTGTAACAGCCTACCTCTCCCAGCAGCCACTGACAGAAGCAAAACGGGTGACCAAGGAAATTAGCATGAAGTCAAACACGACATACTGACCTTTGAGAAATATGGTGTACTAGCCAGATGGCTAGAGTGATTCCTAACTTTTAGGTAATTCACTTTGCAATTGGTATGTTTAGGTCCTACTAGATAGGTGCAAGGAGATTTGAATAACTGAAATATTGCAGTGATTTTACATAATAAAGTAAATGTAAAAGCAATTCTCCTTGTAGAATTAAACCAGGTTTTATTATTTATAACTACATTTTTATTAAAGAAATGAGTACCTGGTTTTAGTATCCTGTTCAGTCTAGCCTTTCATTTTACCAGCCTCATTAACTGATTTGAATAAGGGATCTCTAAAAAAGAAAATTTGATTTATAGAGATGAGTATAGACACAGCAAAAAGTTAGGGAAAAGTTAGTTTGGTCTTGAAGTATGAAAATTGACCATCTAAAGCCAACATGAACGTATTTACTACAAGTACAAGAAGGACAAGCAAATGTTTATTGCTTCTATCAGCACTAATGCAGAGTCCCTTTGGTTATTTCTTTAATCCAAACAGCTTCCTGGTAGATCCAAGATGTGAGGCCTTTCTGTAATGACTTGGCAAGAGAAAGGGTCCAGAACTTCTCTGCAAACACAATTAAGTTGTCAAAGACAAGTCCTGTATTTGAATTAAAACTATAAATCTTTCATCTGCACCTACTCTACATCAAATAGCAGGAAAAGAGGCCCTCCCATCTAACAGTCTTAATTACCAGAGCACTGCAGCCTTTGAGCATGACAGAGCCAGTGATAGCTGACCTTGTGCTCCAGTCCCACAGTGGGATCAACTTGATGAATGGGAATCCCTGCCTGAAATATCACAGCAAAAGGAACAGGCCAAGATGGCAAATTAAGTGCCTAACACTCTGTTGGGCCTACACAAATACGTAATAATGCCCTTTGCTTTGATCCGCTTATACCGGAATGAGCAGTATGTTGAAGGTTTCAGTGTAAACAACTCAAGCTTTGTCTAAGTAATAACCAGCCCTTGCCACCTCCCTTCCCACACAAATGCAGGAGGGAGCAGACGGAGGTGACATTTCCTTCAGTGCAACGCTGCTGCCAGTTTTATTGCACTTAGAGGAGCAAAAATAGGCACAGCAAGATCGATATGGTTTTTATTAATGGCCCAGCATATTTTCCCAATGGCCCCATGTAGGCAAAACAACCGAGGATTTCCAGTGAGAATGGGAGTTAATAGACTTCATTTTCCTCTTCTCAGTAGTCAGGTAGTAGGTGAGTCAGAGGTGGCTGCTGTATGGTCTCTTCCCCCAGGGCAGCAGTTCCCCTGCTGTGCAATGTGGGTGTCGGTGGCCCTCAAGGCCACTGTATGTGATCTGCAGGGGGATTTCCTTTTCAATTCCAAACATCTTCAGCTCAAGGTTTATGAAGAGGAGGCATGGTGGTCCATGGGAAACATTCACAATAGTTTCTTGGTCCGAAACTTTGCGAACGAATGCCTTCGGACACAGCCACGTTGCCTGGGGTCATCTCTCTGAAAAAACTACATTTCAGGATGGGCTGTCACATCTTCTGGTATAATGATGTGATTTCTTTGTCTCTCTAGGACATTTCTGAATCTTTTTCTCTAATAGCCATATTGACTTCTACTGAACATTTCCATTCTGACCTTACTTTTATTTTCTCCTTATCTATTAAAGCTCCACACTGTATTCCCTGTCCTTTAACGGATCATGCTGGCTCTGTTAATGACTCAGGCATACATAAGCTGCCTTGCTGTTTGACTAGAGGTAGCAGTTATAAAGGAGGAGATGCATATATGCTGTAGGAGAATCCATCTCAAGTATGGTGTATCAAGTCTATAGCATACAATATTTTATAGGAAAAGACACAAAAAAATCCCATTTCTCCCCCATCTGGAAAGCCCCTTCACTGGAAGGATATCACGCATTTATAGGTTTTGTATCATCGAGCTACAAAAATCTTCCTGTTGCAAAGTTGTGCAGCAAATATTTCCCTGACAGCGAATTCTTCAAACAATATTTTCATGAGCAAGGTCTAATGTATGAACACAAAGGTAAATCAGGTACCTTTAAATATTGCAATCTTGCCTTACTAGATATCTACGATAAGTAGAATATACTCTCTTTTATTATATATAAACATGTTTCTGTATGTATGCATGTGTATATAAGTGTACAAAGACAAGAACCTATATGCCTATATATATTTATTTCATTTCACAAAGAAATAAGTCTGCATTTAGTTTTACTCATGGTAGCGACTATGCCTGCCACAAAAGTAAAGTGAAATTCACTACAAAAGCACATCAAAACATTGAGGAAAATAAAGAATATCCACTCAGGAGAAAAATGATTCACAGCCTACTTTGAGTCTGCAAGGTTGCCAGATCACACCAACAGGCATTACCCTCATGTCAAAGGGAACTATTCAGCAGAAGAGCAAAGTGGGAGGGGGGGGAGTGATGGTGAAGTCTGTGATGACAGATCTGTGTCTTTCACGTATTCCTCAGGGGATGCTCTGTTCATTTGCTATATGTTTAGGCAGTGGCGGGGTGGAATGGGGGGTTGTTGGTTGCTCCAGAGCTGTCCTAGAAGGGAGGCATCTCCTGATGGATTCTACATATCTACAGCCAGGGGTTAAAAGTGCAGGAGCAACTGTGAGATTCAAAGGATATAGCCAGACCTACTTGCTTTGAGGAAAAATGATGTGACTGTGCTTTAGGGCTATAGGCAGACCAGTGCTTTCCCCTCCAGTGCAATTAGTGGAGATGCTTCATTAGCTTGACAAGCAAAAGGGTGTGGTGGGAATGCAAAGCCCTGATGGGAACCTGGTCTTACTGAACACCGCTGGCTTTATCAGCAGCAGAATTTCTCCCCTTGAGTTTGTACTCTCTTGATACAGAGCATTAATAATAAGGATGGGAATGGAGTATACATAACCACATATTGCCACAGAGGGACACGATCCTATTAAAAGCAATCCACTTCTGGCAGGAAAATAGTTACTCTGGAACTTAAAACAGGAACTTGTGTAATTAACTGCACATTTCAGAGCAATACTACGCTAAATATAATGAAAATCCAGCATGACATAAGTGGCCCACATCCTCAGCTGATATAAATTAGTAGAAACCCAGTTTTCTCTAATGCCTCAATTGAACAATGCAAGCTTACATGAGTTCAAGAGACTGCTGTGTGCCCTACCCATGCAGCATCACCACAGTGTAAAACCTTCCCTGTGAAGCACAGCTTCACTCTCACCTGTACTGTGAAGAATATTTTATATCTTGCCTTTTTACAGGCTTTCTTCAATGTTTGCTATTTAAAGGTTAAAACGGGTATCTCTGCTTTGAAAGTAACTGTTGGAAAAAATCCTTACTGCCTTCATTAGAGAGGGTAAGCATGAGTCTGAAACTGTTATGCATAAATACTCCTCTAGCATCCCTGAAACTGTGCACGTACGTGTTCTTACACGCATTGCTTGTCAAAAAATGTCTCTGCACACACAGGTTAGCAGAGTCTACCTGTTGTGTGTGAACATGATCAACATTTAATTAGTGTAAGTAAATGATATTGCCTGTGTGACCAAACTGTCTGCGGAGAACATCCCCAAATCTGTGTGCACTCAACTATGAGGTGGGCTGAGACATCAGTCAGTCAGTCCCAGTGGTACTTTTGTGCTGTGATTTACTCAAAACTGCTTTGATGACAGGTGTATTATGAATATCCATGTTTACAAATATTTGGAGTTGCCACGTACATAAACCGTCATGCACTATGTGCACTACGTTCATGAGGACATAGTGGTTCTCCAATGTAAAGGAAATCTCCCTAGCTGCAGCTCTGAGCTGTCTAATGTATTTCACACAGAGTGCCTTGGCTGGTGATTTACCATCCTTGTCTTCTGCTGGCCTTAGGGGAAAAACGCTCATGCATCTGTAATTATTAAAGGTTACAATTGCTCCGTAGGATTTGAAAAACAGTAGTGTTGAGGCTGGGCACTGAAAAGTTACACGCAGAATGTGAGATAAAGAAATCTGAGAAGACTGTGCAAAAAGGGATTGGCACTAGTACAAGGGCAGTTTTCACTGCTATTTTGACTGCAGTCTATATGCACTCTTCTTTAATTTCCTTGTGAATGAATACTGTTAAGAAACAAATTGGAGAAGGGCTAATTCGTTTGTTATCTAAACTCTCCCCTTACCTACACAAGCCCACACATGCTAAGCATTTGTACAGATGCCAAGACTCGAATAAGGGCATCCCTCCCGGGGCAGCACAGATGACCAGGAGGCGGCATTCACAGGGCTGCAGCATGCCAGCTGCAGAGCCTGCTGGCCTCTGCTTCTCCTCACCTCCAAGTGTAAGCCCTGCCTCGCATGTTCCCATTACACGGGCTTACACGGCACAACTAACAGGCTTGTGCTAATCCCGCCTATTTTGACTGAAAGGTTCACAGACGGCCTAATGCTATCAGCTCATTTGACAGGCACGAGGGGCCAGTAACTTCCATCTGGTGTGGGAAAGAGCAGCAAGTAGGCAGAAATCGGAGTCTCATTCAGGCAACACGGTTGCTGTGGAAAGAGACTACGTGACCACAGCCCAAGATGACAAGCTCTCAGGAATTTAAAGCCCTTTACTAGAATACTGTAAGAATATTTATCAAAATACTGTATCAGAAACCCAAGGTGCCTGCCAGCACAAGAGTACAATTCAGGCAGTTCTATATAAAGCCTCCAAAAGGCAGGTAAAGCATACCGAGACCTGTGTGAACAGCCAAGGTGTGCCATGGTGATCCAGTCATCAGTGGCACAGACCACTGAATGCCAGCAAGAACAGAGTCAAGCCTATGCTAAAGTTTCCTATTCCCTACAGATGGGTGAAGTGACTGGAATAAAGTTAGAAGAGACAGAGACCTTCACAAAAAATTCATGCAAACCCTTTGGGGAGTGGGAGGGAGAGGGGTTAAAAAATAAACATATCTTAGTTATCTTTTTCTTCATACTGGCTACAACTAAAATTGGAAACCCAGACACATCACCACAAGGTTATTACTGTGATGTTTCCATTTCCAACAGAAGGTAAAAGCCTTATAGAAGCAGGACTGTATGCACAGCATTTCCAGCTCATTCTGTATGCTCAAGAGATACTTATAATTTGGCTACACCTCAGAAAAGCAGTCAGGCTGAACATGAAAACCTTTTAAGTTTCCTTGTGTATGCTGTTGCACTCAGTGCCCTGAGTAGAGGTTTCATGAGAGCTACGTACCTAGCAGAGTAAAGCTGGCCTCCTCTTTTCTCTTTTACTGTGAGCATGGTGACACAAGGCAGCAGAAGCTCTGCCTTCCTGCACTCTCTGGGACACACTCCCCTCCCGACTTCCTGGCAATTGCAGCAAGTCAGAGCAGAGTCTGGGGCGAAGCTGTGAATTCAGCACCAGAAGCCCTTTGACTCCGGGCCTTTCTTGGCCTTCTGTTTGATTCCTGATGGAGTTCAGGTGTTCAGAAAGATATTGTCTGAAAACAAGAAAACGCACTAATGAGCAAAACACAGCACTGGGTAAGGCTCACTCAGTTACTCTTAGTCACTCTGACTTCTACAGCCATACCAGGCAACTGCAGAAGCTACACTGGCCAACAGAAAACTTAGCGATTGAAGAGAAAACGGAAAGTTACCTGCCTCTGCGTTCAGAGAGATGAGTTACACTAATAGACTGCTTTGGCCTCTTTTCTTAGTGAGACCCATCTGTTCCGAGGAAGCTGAGAATGTTTCAAGTAAAAGCATTTATAACCTCACATATTCCTTTACACTTCTAGGGCAAAATGTCAGGTCTTACTTTAACAGATCTCTGTCCCCAGGGTCAGAACTTGAGTCTACGTAAAGGACATTAGTTATCTCACACCAAATGCCCATAACTCAGCAATTTCCATCCAAAACAATTGATTAGATGCAATTGGATCCAGGTGAAATGGGCAGATCACCTATTATTTTCCTTTTCCATTACTTTTTGCTTATTGAAACTTTTTTTAGAAAATAAAATATTATTCAGTACCTGAACAGACCTTCAGCTACAGCTGGTAGTTAGATTTGGGAGTAGATGATAAAAATGTGATACAGTCCCTATTTCATCAGGTACTGCTTAGAAACTATTCCAAGAGATATGGCCCTGTATTTTGATGTTTATGTTCTGTGTTTATCTAATTTACAGTGTCATCCATTTAACGCAATTGGATCTTGGATGCCATCTGAGCAACTTGACACTATCTAATCAGAGCACTGTACTCCCAACACTCAAGTCAGTATGCAAACAAGGAGTTTGGTCTGCAAGATTAAGTTCAACAGACAACTACTCCAAGGTGTTCCAGCAGGACATAAAGGGCAAGAAGAATTCTTGGCTTTCTTCTTTAGGTAGTGCAGGGAGAAATTAATATGGAAAAATTATAAAAGAGGAAAAGGAAATACTCTATAAAATTGGAAATCAAACCGATCCACTGGCCATCCCCACCCAGGTCTCAGATGTGATCTGGCTGCTCTCACGGGAGCTTGCTCTCAGCTGACACTGCTGAGGGTTACAGTAGTGGAGCTCTAAAGCAGCTAGGCACTGCTTATGTACAGCCAACGCACAGGAAACAGCCTTTAACGTTAGCACGAATCCAAACACAGGAGCTAAAGCCCTCAAGTGCTTCTTGTAAAAGCATGAGATATGGGCACATGAATGACTCGCTGCAGGAGGAATTAGGTGGTGAACTTACGGTGTGTCTGCTGACCTACTGTAATTGCTTGTGCACCAGCTCTTACTTGAGGAAAAATGTGAGGGTACATCCTCTTTCACTGACAGATAAGAAACCTGCAATTACCTGCCTCTTACCATGGGACAAAGGCCCCACACTGGCAGTTAGAACTGGGATGTTCTGATGTCCTGTTCATGTAGTGACTTTTTAGCCCCTCCAACCTGTTCAAGTGGCTGTAGCCACAATCTAGCCATATCTGTGTGCTGAGCCTTCAAGATAATCTTGTCTTGTATATAGCAAAGTTACAGTTTCCAGGCTTTTCCCCTGCTCAGGTTCTTCTGAATTAACTAGCCCATTAACTGGGCATTAATGGTGCAGGGAAGTTCTGGGAGTACTAATTAAAGAAGTCATTTATAGACTGTGTCCTACTGGGCACCCCAGAAGCTGGGAAATGCTGATCAGGCAAATTCCCCAACTGCCCAGAGGACAGAAGCTAGAGCCCCTTGAACAAGCAGAGAAACCTTCTTTCTCAATAGGCCGAGGGTTTCCATGGCCTGAGAGAGGAGATCAAGTGGGAGCTGTGCTTTCTGCTGGCCCTTTCTGGCTTTATCTGCCAGCTTCCTAGGGAGCAGTGCTGGCTGGCAGGGAAGCACGATGAGAGCCAAGAGCACTCCCTGTTCCTGACCCAATCTATTCTATTGCTTTTTGGGTGCAACCCCAGCCCTCATTCCCCAGCTGCTCTCTCACCTGTCTTTTGCCTTTCCTCGGACTGCAAAACAGAGGAGAAAAAAGCTGTAACAGCAAATATTTTCCTGTGAGTGAACACTCTGTGCTGAAACACAGGCTCTTCCTCCTTTGTTGAGCAACAGCTAAACTCGCAGCTTCTCCATGGGTAAGCGCATCCCAAAGGAGGTTTTTACGTTTTCATTTGGAGTTAAGTATATATTAGCTTACACTAAAATGATATAATCCAAACAAGGAAAGAATGACTGATTTCTACCAAGTCTTGAGTTACATGAACTTGTTTGTAGGAGGCTATCAAATACAGAGGCCCAAGGTGGGCTCCTTATGTCATCGCAGGACACTGGAAATAGGCTGATGTGAAATCTAAAAATTAGCAGTGAGGAACTCTTACCCAGAAATTTCTCATGTGTTTAGATTCCATCTTCAACATGTATCACATGATCTACAAAAGCTCAGCAGGTCCTAAAAATAACATTCAGTCATGAGACAGAAAACTTGTTCTTGTTTAAAACAAGAATGTGGATTAGAATGACCAAGCAGCTTGCTAAAAGACAAAACATTATTCTTGCCCAAACAACTTGTTCCCCTATACACTGTGAGCTAAATCATGAGATTTCTAGCTGGATCCTACACAAGTCCTTCCTGAAAACTCATCTCAGGATTAATCTAATTACTTGCACAATTAATAACTGTAATATCACAAAGAAAATAAATACTCCCAAACGCAGCCACTCTGCTTTTCAGAGAGTGACAAAATCTGTTGCATTCCTACAAAAGACATGTTTCTCTCCCTGACTGCATAAGAAATTAGGGTCTGGCAGTTCTGGAATGTATGAGGTCTGAATTGCTCATTGTTGTCCTGAACTTAAGCACTGTAGTAGGTACATAAATCTGATACATCTTACTAGACTGAATGTCTTCACATCCTGACCTCTTTGTCATCCAGCCACCTCAACTGAGATAGATAACAGAATCTCTAAACGGATTCTTTTAGTTTACCTTTTCCTTTTGAACAAAAGCCTGTCCTTATTTGACAGTGTTGCATTGCTGACAATCCACTTTTTGGGAAGTGTTATTTTCTACTCTGAGTGAAGATGTCAGGCTCATTTCCAATGCAAGTGTTCTTTCTGTTCTCCCTCTGACTATTCTAATTCAGTGAATCTCTGTGTTTTAGTCATACCTCCTGGTAGGAAGAGCTCTCAGGAGCTGTGCCTCTGGGTTGGGAGTTCCTAGCCCCCCACCTTGTCTCTGAAGATTTTGCTCTACCTTGTTGTTCACTGCAGGGCAACAGAATTCTTTGCTTTACTGCTTACAGGAACAATTCTTTCAGTGCTGTCTAGTTCTAACAATGTTTTTGTGATAGAGCTCCTGCAACTATAAAATATGCAATATGAAGAAAAGAGCGAAAAATAAGCATAAAAGTCTCATCTGAAACACAAAATGACTTCAGTATCGTGCTGAGATCTATGCCTACCACAAAAAGTTTGACAATGGAAACTACAGTCTTTGGCTCTCTTGCTGTGAATTGGTTGTGTCAGGATTGCCTGGCAGAATAAAACATAGAATTGAAGATTCAAGTTTCACATATAACTGTGCTATTATTTAACATCTGATATTTCATCATATTGTCTTGCCTGAGCATGAAGGAATAAGGTATATAGTGCAGGAAACGGTTATACGCATGTGTGTCCTCACAGCCCTATGGAAAGATAGGATTCTCCAAACATACAGGCATGGATAAATGATTTGCCTAGAAACAAAGTAATTTAAAAGTGAGGTACTATAGCAGGATTCAAAATAGGCACACACATGGATTAGAGCGCCAGATTTTTTCCATATGAGCAGTAAGGAAATGTTGTTAAGTCTCATATTTTGAAAGAGGTAGACTTTCATTGGAGACTGAAGCTGAGAGTTGGGAACTTGTGATCATTAAGAGTCTCACAGTCATCTATCATATGTAGAGCCCTACTGAGCCAAAACCTTGCTATCAGCTTGAGTGATTCACTTTAACTGCCTAAGATTCCCACTGCAACTTCAAATGGAGGTCTTAGATATGCTTTCGTCTCACACCAACACAACTTCTCATCATATTAGAAAAGAATAAAGAAAAAGAATTTATTGTTCTAAGTATGACCCTCCACATGGGGTGAAGACTTCTGGTTTTAGTTTTGTTTCTGTAAAACCAAACCTCAAACCAGGGAAGTTTCAGAGCTGGATTTCACTGTAGATAGCGAATCACAGTTAAAGGTGGCTTAGCTACAAGGTTTTAGCTTTATTATAGAGTGAGCAAGCCAGTGTGGTAGTTCAGCAAGAAATAGAGTCTTAACACCTTGGAACTGGGAATAATTTGGATCTTGATTCTTTTCAACCCAAATCATCAAATCAACCCAAATCACAAACGGGGGATGTTGAAGAATAGCAAGAATTTTGGAAATGATCAAGCTGTAAATGGTGTAATTAAAGGTAATAAGATCAGACTGCAACACAAGGAAGAAAAAGTTTTCTGAGATTCAGGAAACCTTCCTTCAGATTCAGATGAAAGCTCTGCCTAAATGACAATCTTTTAAATTCCCTAGCCTGTCCAGCCTGTATAAAATAGTGCCACAAACCTTCTAAAAACTTTGCTCCTCATGTCCAGTAAATCCAAAAATAATGATAGCCCATTTCATAGCACAGCAACTTCTAGTCATAGTTCGTAAGTGCCAAGATACATAACAATGAAAAACAGGTGGTAAAAGTGTTCAGTGAACTACTTTAGCTCTTTAGGAAACTTCAGTCTCATTTTGAGATAGAGACTAAAAAGTGGAAAATAATCTTATTTGAATTTTGCCCCAGAGTACTGTCCTCTGTCGTTCAAAGACTGTTCTACTTCACATTGGCTACCCTCACAATTTTTTCTTCATGCTCAAACGGAAAATCTGAGACACCAAAATAATAACTAGGTCCTGAGATGGTCAGTCCCCTATCTGAATCTAAAGAGCCAGGGAACACAGAGCAAGGGACTGCTCAGTCAGCCATGAAAGCTGCGATACTCTCACAGCTCTTTCCAGATGCTTACCTCTTTCACAGAAAGCTCTCGTGCAATTGACAGCTGTCTGCTTACAAACAAGTTGTAACCAATGCCTTTGAGGGACAGCCGATATCTGAAAAAGAGATGGAGGTCAATTTATTATGCACAAATATGAAGTTCAAAATATTCAGTAATCGGAAGCTGCCATCCTACTGTTTAAGCCCTTTCAGGGTTAGATCTATCTTGACCAACAGGACTGAATTACTTCAAATACATGTTTTGGAACTGAAGACTATGGTAACACAACACTGGGATGATATGTTGACCTATGTATCCAACATACAAGATGATCTTATACTGGAGTCAAATTCATGAGACTATGGTGAGAGCGGAAAATCTATTTGGTTAAAGTGTTCTTTGGATATCTGTGCTGACACTGCCTTGGGGCACTCCACAGAAATAACTCCCTTTTCCCATGAGTAAGTATTTCTTTACGCAGAGCAGGACCATGCCAACAGAAAAGATAACAAGATCTGCCCCTCCGGTACCCCCCCGGCCCAAGGCATGGCCTCCTGAGTTATGGGAGACTTGGTCCCTAATCCTGGGCGGGTGTTTGACTCCAAGATCTCTTAGACTCTAGCTGGAAGCAGAAGCTGGAGCTTCTAGCTGTCACATCAAAAAGAAATGGGTCCAACCTAATCAAAGAGGCCTCCAGTTTATCTTAGAGTTTTGTCCGGTAATGCAGGGCCTGATTCATGTTCAAAACAGTTATACTAATTTACTACTGACATCCTTTTTCTAACCAATTTGTATGAGAAACTAATCCAGCACAGATTTCATATACAGAAAGTCCCTCTAATTTATATAGGATTAGCCGGAACGTAAACTGACCTAGAACGTGGCCCAATGTGCCTTTTACGGCCCTTACAGGGCTTCTTGAATTTTCATGAAATGTAGCAGACCATGCATTTGTTCATGTCGACGGCATGGAGAATACCCTAGGAACGTGTTAGTCATGCAGACTCAGGCTTAGATAGGAATGAAAATGGGGAAAAAAACAGAATGGAGGGACACAGAAGTGAAAGCTAATTTGATCAAGGCCATAATCTTTCCAAGTTCACTTTCCTCAGATTTTTTAAGCACTGAAACCTCATGACTAGGGGTATTTGCAAACATTATTTCTAATTTTGTACTCTTAAAGATTTACAAGACAATGCATATCAAGTTTATGTATGGGTGTAACACTAACCTTTGTTTACTGCTTGCATCTGAGTCCTTCAGTTCACAGAAACCACAAGATGCATGTACCTAGTTTATGTACATATCATTTATATCACAATAATGTCAAGACCTGGACACAGTTTTCCAGGCACTACTTATATGCCATTACTAAGCAACTCATAGTATAAATAACCAACACAGCCTATTCTTCACATTCTGAATATCCATTTTTTTGCAGTGAACTGTCCATATGATGTTTGCATAGGAAAACCAATTTGCCAAGAGAAGTGTGAATAATTTCAAAAAATAGCTGAATTTGATATGGCTTACACATAGTTTGTGGACAGAAAGAGAGGCAAAATACATTTTGGTGGAACCATTTGTGCATTCTGCTCCACTTCATGTAGTACTGCACGGCTGCTATCAGAGAGGCAGCACTGAATGCTAATTTCTAACCAGCATAAATTACTTTGAAGGTGTTTTTCTAAAAGATTGTATGCTATGACACTTATTGTATTTTCCATTTCTCACTAGGCTGACTTAATTTTACTTCCAGTGAGTTTCAAGCTGTGATTTATGTTACTGTCAGACTTAGGAAACCAATTGCCTCAAACCGAATATCTAAAAACAAAGTGTTGTAAATTCCAAGCGAACGTTTGCAATTGTTTTCTTTTTATTAGCTGCACAAACCTATTACTCCCCTGGCACACAAATCATTTGTAATGGGCTGCTAAATGTATTTGTTAATGCATTCACCCTCAGCTTAAACAATGATCTTCAGCAAATCCAATAGATGAAGCATTAAAAATAAACAGAAAAGGCCTTCGTTAGCATTGACTTGGGTCTCGTATAAAAACAATTTGGATACTTCAGGCTGGAAACAAGCATTTTGTTACAGAAGCTGATTGTTCCCTGCTGTAACTCTGCTAACAATTTCTTTCAGATGTGTCCTCTCTTGAACATTCTCCGCAATCATATCGCTGCTGCGCAAAGCCTGTATTGCCTCCTGAAAGATCTTGCTCTCTGAGACACTGCCATGCATTAGCTATCAGGAAGCTAGTCGAGATCATGTGCTTTACACATGCTCATAATGATATGCCCCAAGTGTGTCAGCTGGTACCATCTGTGGTGCCTGGAGCAGTGTCTGGGAGGCTGTGACAACTCAATTGCAGGCTGGAGGTTTTGAAAAACATAGGATAATTACTATTCCCTCTTAGGCAAGAAGACTCCTATGTGCAGTGTTAGGGAGGCCACATCTGTTACAACTATTACTAAGCCTCTGCTGATCACCAATATTACAATAAAAATAGTCATCAATCTGGATAAAAATCACAATTTCTTTACATTTCCAGCCCACTGATCTGACCGAGTTGTGAATAATAAACTGGTGCACTGTCAGCCTCTTGTTGTGCATGCTTTTCTTTGCACTCCAATTGTTTTTGGAAGCTATGCAGGATCCTATCCCAAGCAGATACCTGGCAGTAGAATAAGAAGGCAAGAGAGAGAGCTGGAATTACTCTAGCAGTGAGTACTTGAGTATCTGAGAAGAATATTGAATTCTGAAATTCTAGTTCAAGAAATTTCTTTAAAGCCACTTCTTTCAACTAAGCTGTTTTTTACTTGTCAAAAGATCTTAATTATCAGGCTGATAATGGCTAGTCTGCATTTTTAGAACACGTATAGGTTGTCATCTCAAAATTGCAGAAGCTTTTGGTCAGTCAAATTAGCTGTGTTTTGACTGTGCGATTTCAATGATGATTTTAATCGGTTTCATTGTATCCTAAGCTAAGTCTTTACTGGCAATTCACATCTCCGTCTGGGGTCTTTTTCAGTTCTAACCACAAAGTTTTGACAAACCAAACACTAACCATGCCATTTCTTTGCACTTTTTGTCCAGCACTAATATATGCTGACTTGGATGCTGGAAGCACTAGAATGACAAGAACCGAATATTCTTACTGTGAAAATTAAAATACTGGATGTGAGAAGATATATATTTCTTCACAGTGGGTTCAGCTGCCCCTGCGTTTTATGTTGAAGCTAGAAAAAATAATAAGACAGGGAACAAACCTAAGTTTCCAGCCATCAGGAATGAAATCTGAGCTCTTGGGACAGTGAAAGAAGGTGCATCTTGAAATGACCAGTGATGGAAAGCGTGCAAGCGAACGTCTTACATGATAGGAGTTTGCATTGCCTCAAACTGGTAATTGCTGAAGGAAAGTCTTCAGTGCCATATCAGATATCATAAAATTATGGTTGCTGTGCTGTTCCAAGTTTTATTTTCTTCATACAGTCTAACAACAGACACAAAAACAGATAAATATCAAGGCAAATTTGTTAATACTGCATTATTGGCAGACAAAAAAAGATCACTTTACATTGGAACGCTGAGCTCCTGCCAACCACCAACAAGTGAATAGCCCTGTTTTAGAACTTACTGCTAATGGAAAAAAATATATGTACTGCATAAAAACAGAAATAATCTGAAGGCGTTTGAAAAGGTTTAGGTTCCATTCTGAGAGTCCCTCTAAAATCAGCCCTGTTGACAGAATTTTGAAAAATATAGCTTGTGTAAAGGTAGTGGCATTAAACTTTTCAATTTTTCTGTACATCTCAGAAGTGTGTACATGACAAGGAACCACAGTGAAAAAGTTAAATATTATTAATCCTACTTAGACATGGAGAAGCAGATTTATACAAAGAAAAAATGGATCATCCAAGGCCACTCAGAAGATGGTCATATACCAAAATATTTGGTGGGGTAGGAAGAGACAACATAAAGTAGCAGGGCTATTTTGAGAAACATGGGTCTGAGATTGAACTAATTTTCAATGCGTATAATTAAAAAGGCTGAAAAATATATAAATATGTCTTTACTCTGAAAAAATGTTATAGGAATGTGATTTTTATGTCGCTGGAAGTATTTAGTGGCAGTGAATACGAGGTGTTAACTGCAGAGACACTCTACCAGTGTGTCGACCTCTCAGAGGTAAGGGTCTGGATATAGAGACCCATGATGCCTCCAAGAAGCCTGAGCCTGTCAGGTTGCTGGTGGTTATCACTGCAGTCAATAGACTTGGGCTTTGTGACCTCTTATTTAAGCTGGGATCTCAGGATTTTGCTCAGTTCGGGTAAGACCGATGCTGGAAGGAGAGGAAGGACTCTGGAACGAGTGTGTGGGTTGTGTGGGTTTGCTCCCTCCCAGAGAGGATGTGGACCTCTGTTTAGGGAAGAAGGCAGTCCACCTTCCAGCTCATAACACCCCTTCTTTGGCTTCTTCACTGAATTTTGGTCCTTTTGTGATAGATGATAGCCTTCATGGCAGGGATGCCATGATTATAAAACAGGACATCTAGCGCTTCTTTCTCTGGGGCTCTCTGCATTTCCTTAAGTTGCTTTTCTATATCAAGTAGATATGGACAGGCTTGTGATTTAGAAACACTGACCAAAAAAGGTGATGAGAGAGATTATGCACCAAATGCAGGTGCTTACATGTACAAACAGAAATGAGCTCATTTCCCTGCCTCACAGACACAGGGTAAGATTATGGGTAAGACTGTCAGGTGAGGACCATGTGAAAGCTTTGCTGTGTGAGCTTTTTCCATGGCTTAGACACACGCACATACACACACACACACACGCACACAAATGATAAAATGGATGCGTTTAAAAGGAACAAATGTACAGTCTGAATTATGAAGAGCCTGAGCTACTGCCTACCTCTTCCCTGGGATCTTCAGCCAGGAGACTGGAACAGCTCTCTCGGAGTGATCTGATTGTATGGAGTGAATAATACATCTTACAAATTTTTAGATTTTGGCTGGCTTCGGTTTTGTTTTCTTCAAGCCACTGAGGGGAAAAAGGAAACAAAAGGCAGATTTTGATAGATCTGGTAAATATGGATGTGGCAGGAGCCAGGAAGAATACATTAGAGAAGTGATTGATGGCCTTGATTATGGTCAACGTAGTGCGAGCACTGGCTTTTGCTGCGACTGCAGACTGAAGCTTGTTATTCCCTCGCTTTCTGTCTGGCGCTGCTTGTGCTATTTTCTGAACAGGGCCACCGAGACAAGCAACAATAGAATTGTGATCAGACTGCTTTAGCTAACGGTCAGTTGGCATTTGCACTGTCAGATTCTTCTGTCAAGATCCAACTTTACTGGAGCTCAAAATACATCTCACATGGTGGGCCCAGATGGCAATATTTATTTTACCATTTATTTTTAAATTGTTCCAGAAAAAAAGTCAAGATTAATTTGCACAGTTTCAAAGGATGATATTTTCTGTTCCAATGTTATTACAAAATTTGATTTGCTTTAAATTTGTTTGCCTTACCATTTCCTTTAGGTTTGCAGTTAGCATTACTCTAATATAACAGTTTAAAAAGTACCTCCTGAATATATCTGGTCATTTCTCACCATACCCGAAATGCTTGTCTACCGCAGCTCTGTACTATAGGAGAATATTGCTATATGACAAAAATTCTTCTGTGGGCATGTCTGATCAGTCAGCTTGGCACACTAGAAAATATCTCCTCCGAAGAATTAATATGTTTAACATACACGATGCAAGTGCAGGTCACAGATGGACAGGCTATGATGGGGAAGGGAAAGCACAAAGGTGACAATAGCAAGAGCGTGTGGTGTCAGTAAGGCGCACACAGGCATATGGATGGCTCTTTTTGCTGTTTTTCTTCAGTTCCTTTTTGTGGGCAAAATGCCAAAATGCCAGAAGGAGCAGCTTTGGTGAGGCCAGTGAAACAAGGGGAAGAGGGGATGCAGACTTTTGTGGGAGAAGGGAGATAGCCAGCATGACTGAGTGGAAATAACAGGGTAGAGAAACCAGGTTAGATTTCAGGAGAGGAACTGCACAACAGAAGGTCTTCCAGACTAGGACATTAGACTTCTTTAGAGAGCAACGAGGAAATGGGCCAACATCCAGAGAGACAGATGTCACGGCCAGAATAAGAAAGATGACTTTGGCAGCAAAATCCTGACAGACCAGCAAAGGGAGAAAGCAGTCCTGCGACGAAGACAGCAGTAGCTGAGGAGGGAAGTGATTAAGTGTGTGTGAGGGGTTTGGCTGCAGGGATGGAAAGGCAAGGCTAGATGGCTGAAATGCTGTAGCAGGTGTGGCTCATTTACTCCTTCCTGCACACAAGAGGTAGGTTGGGAGTCCACAGAAAAGGAATGAAGCTCAGTAGGGTAAGGACAGTCAAACACACTGTGGGAGGCTTACACTAGCCTTTGCTAGTGTAAGCATTGCATTGCTTTGTGCTATTGCTTTTGCTATCCATGAAGGCCAGCCCCTGGGAAGGAGTTATTTGGGATATTTATCAGACTTGGCGCGCTTCAACAAGGACCGCGTAGAGGCACACACAGCTCATTCAGTAGACTTGTCCACTGCATTCATCCTGTTGATGCAATGCTGCATTCACTACATTGTTGTGCAGAATAAGCTCCTCATTATTAGTGCAGAACGTGTACAAGTTAACCATGCAGTGGCATAGGAGGTATCTGATATTTGCACATAATTGCTGTGACCTGATACTTGTGTAACTAGAGGATGAAAATGCTTTGCTTTATCTGAAGTGGATTTTCCATGTAATGACCATATAACTAAATTAGAGATGGATAAACTTGCTGATACTTAATATGAGCTCATAGCAAAAAAATGCGTTTAAACAAACTTTATGTTCAGATAGGTCTTGACAACCGGCAAAAATGCTATTTCTCATTCTTTGCTAAGATATGATCTCATTACACATGAACAATCACTGCAGCACATGCAGAAAATGGCATAAGAAAACCCCCTTTCTGATATTATCTCTGGTTGTCAAGTGTTAGATGCAACATTAATGAGCTTTGATCTAAGTGCCAACCAATTTAATTCTCCCCATTATTTTGGCTGAATAGGGATATTTATTAGGTTTCCTCACACGTGCTCGCTGTGGCACAAAGGCAATGAATCATTCCTATACCACAACAACGAAGCTGGGCCTTACTCAATCCACCACAGACCAAAGCTCTTTTTCT